TACAAGCCAAAAAAAAAAACACAAATAAACAAACAACTGCTACTGAGTGGGCTTATTGATCTGCCACTGTTCTCTTGAACTGTCCACACCTCCAATGTGGGACGCTTGGTGACATTGTTTTTGTTTTTATTTTTTAATTTCTTCAATTAGAGAGGTGTATGCGGGCAATAGTATGCTGCAGTCTATTCCAATTTAAATGAAATCACTCCCGGCTCATTAGATAAGACAAGCGGCCATTTGCCGAGGCTTGAGCAAAGCATCGGGATTTTTGTGGCAACAGTGGAGCCAAGTGTGAGGTGACTGATGTCGTCGGCTCTGTGAGGACCCAAGTGTGATGGGCCTTGCAGCTGTACGGAGAAACCATCTGCTATGGACTAGCACGGACGCGCTGGCGCTTATTGTTCCCAGTGCCATATGTAATGCAGTCGACCGAATAACGAGCTTCCGTTTCCGTGGATTCAAGGANTTGCGATATCACTGCTCTGAGGTCCATATATATGTATATTGTCTCCTTGTTTGGTGCGCTGACGTGCTTCACCGCTCTTGATTGTCCCTGGTCGATTGGCCACCCCACTCGTTTCCAACGTCTCTGATGCGACGGCAGGTTTGTGTTGTCTCATTTGCAAGAGTTTCGACTGCTGTTGGCGTGTGGTGCCCGTGAAGCAAAGGTGGACTCATGGCATCCGCGCTGTGGAGGTCGGCTGTTACCTTCAAGAGGAGTAATGTATTATTCTGGGGAGGCCCCCCTCACGTACACACTGGCGTGGTGCTGCGAAACGCACTGAAGGGGTTGCATCGTAACTCTGTCGTCGTTGTTGAATTTGTCGGTGACTGAGGCAGGAGAATACGACAGGATAAAATATTCTGTTGTGTTTAATGGAATATAGAAGAGTTATTCTTGGTGAGCCAGATGGTGGTGGAGTGCACCATATCTTTTATTGGTGTGTCTCTGTGTGCGTGTGCTAATGGGTTGTCTTGCTGCAAGTAAACACAAAGCATTCCGGGGCGAAATCTGTTAATGTATCGCATGACGATTAAAGAATAATGCACTGGAGAGAATGTATTCGACTGCTTCTGTTTGTTGAAAGATACGAAAAAAAAAATCATAGTAGGACAATGTATTTTGTGTTTTAATCTTATTTTTCCTCGAGGGGCTTTAAGTATGAAGAGGGAACCGACTGATGGGCACTTGGCAGAGCTGCTGGCTCTTCCGGTGGTGTGACACAGGCACGCGGAGCCGCATATTTCACCAAGAATGGGGTATACGATCACGGAATATCTACACCCTATTTACCCTGGAGGCTTCACTGTGCTGTGAGCCCTGTATCTTTATGGTATTTTCTTTTTTTCTCTTCTATCCATTTATTTGGTGAGTCAGATTGAACACAGATATGGCCTCATACGGCGTAGTGGAGAACCCCGACACGGTGGACTACACGACGAAATGTTGCTGTCAGACTACAGATGGGATGTACTTTCAAGTGCCAAAAGACTATTTCCGCCTGCATGCGACCCTGTCACGGAGAAAACTGCTTGTTCCAGAGCCCTTCACTGTCCCACTGGACTCAGCTGCATTTGAGAACTTGGTGATTTTGCTGGAAAAGGCTTCCATTGTTTCGGCGGCAGCTGTCACAGCAGATACGGAAAGGGCGGGCGACAGTGATAATCAAAAACCGCAGTGGATGAAGGATCTTAGCAAGCGTCAGCAGAAGTTTGTTGGTGCTTGTCTTGGAATAACCACCTGGGATGGACATGATGTTTATTTCTACGAAGAAAAACTACCAAAGGAGAACGACGTTGTCTGGGTTAAGGTTATTCAAGTAAACGATACTTCTGCTGTCGTGCAGCTTCTCGAGTACGGCAATCATGAGGGTATCATTCCATACACGGAGATTACGCGAATTCGCATTCGTGCAATTGGTAAAGTCATCAAGGTAGGAAAGAATGAGGCCGCTCAAGTTATTCGTATTGATAAGGATAAGGGTTACATTGACTTGTCAAAGAAGCAAGTAACGCTTAAAGAAGCAAAGGAATGCGAAGCACGATTTTTTAAAGGCAATGAAGTGCGTTCAATCGTCTGCCATGTTGCTGATGAATGCGGCATTCCGGCTGCGCAGGCAATGGAGATGATTGCGTACCCATTGTACCGACGTCAGCCAGGAAAGCACGCGTGGAACTGGCTTCAGGAACTGAACAAGACTCGTGATGTGGAGGGAATCCTTGGGCCACTGAACCTCCCACAAAGGGCCCAAGAAGTGTTGCTTAACACGCTGGAGCACGCGATGCGAACCGAGATCACTACCATTCACGCTGATATTGAAATGACCTGTTTTCAGTGCGATGGAGTAAATGCTCTTCGTGAGGTTCTATTGGTAGGCCGTGACTTCAAGCAAGGCCAGGAGCCGAATATTCCTATCTCTGTCACGATTGTTGGACCGCCAAAGTACCGTCTACGTGCGAAAACGGAGCTTAAGGACGAGGGCATTCTCCGCATGAAAGAGGCAATTGAGACAATGAAGATTGAGATGGCAAAGCGTGGTGGGATACTGAAGGTTATGTCCGGCCCCTATGCACTGGGTGAGGAAGAACAAGTTAAGGAGGAAAGGAATGACGACCAGGATGACGATGATGATGATGAGACGGATTGAGATGACAATTCCCTTTTTGTCATGCCTGTGCGGTTTTTTTACTTTTAAGAAGACCCCTGTCATTCTGTTGTTAAATAACTAAAGGAGAAGCACGTATTGAGTGTGTGGGGTGCCGCCGTGCAGAGATATGGCCTGATTTTTTTTTTTTTGTTGTTGTTTGTTTATTCGGTGGAGCTTTTTGTGCTTCCATGATACCAGAACTCATCGATCACACGTGACCATTCTCCTCCGTTTTTTTTTTTTTTGTGTGTGTCTTCTTCTCGTTTTTAGGGTTGTTATTTGTTTCATTTTTGTGCTACTGACCCCTGCCACAAGTGGTAGGAGAGGGAAGCAATGGCAGTGGCGGGGGACCAAAAGGATGCCGGGCAACCACCCCAGGGCGATTATGACGACGACACAGGAATCATTCTTTTGTTTCCACCGACGCCACTCCCACCGATTGGTCCTCTGCATGGCAGCATGAAGCATGGTCATAATTTATTTACTAGGTGTCTTTCTTCCAGCAACTACGGGATCCCTACCAGCTTAGCGAATGGTTTAGTCTCGCCCGGGGTGAGACCAATGACGGTGAAGTTTGAAGAAGATGGAAAGCACAAGTTGCACCCTATTGCGGTGATCCGTGAGGAACCGAGGTCTAATGCCTGGTTGTGTTACACACCTCTATTCAGAAATTGTCTGGTGGTTGTGATTAATTGTCTCAACTCCTCTTTCTGGAGTGACGATGCGTTGAATTACGCTAAAGCGATTCATTCTTTGAGTAATGGAGACGGCATCTGTAGATTTTATGGAATGACACCGAGATTGGATGTTGACACTTCTACTACGGAAGCTTCCTCGATGGAGCCCAACGCGAACTTTGGAGTCTCGAAGAGTTCAAAAACCGAGCATTCATTTTTTCGACTACCAACGAAGTGGTGTACTCGTTTTAAAGCGAGCAACCCACACCATTGCGTGAACACCGCGGTTTTCGAATACTTCCCTGGTGCTTCACTTTTTGATGTGATGGAGGATTTGACGTTTCATATCCCTCTGATTATTGTAGATCGTTTGGGACTCGATAGGAAGAGACCTCTCAGTGATCACGTGATCAGTCATCTGCTTACTGGTGTGCTGAACGGACTTTCGTCACTCCATGCCTGTGGTGTTGCCCATGGAAGTTTGAGACCTTCCGCGGTGCTTCTTTCTCCAGATTTAAAGGTTTGCTTGTACAGCATTGGGTTTTGTTCTGTTGACAATGATGTGGATGTATTGAAGTGGTGCGCACCCGAGGTGGCCCTCTCCGGGGTAAAGAAGGGCTGGATAGGTGCAGGAAGTGAAGCGGGAGACATCTGGGCATTTGGCTGCTTGGCATACTATTTGGCAACCTACAAGGTTCCATTTCATGGTAATGACGATGCGACATCTCTGATGTCCTGCCTTAAACTTCTGCAGTTTGGTGGACCCAATAAATCCAATCCTTTGTCGGATTCCAACGCGTGTGGGCCTCAAACTGGAAGCGAAAAGTATTTTGTCGACTTGAGTGCAATCGAAAACGAGATGCTGCGAGACTTGGTTGGACAGTGTATAAAGTTGGTTTCCTTTGAGCGACCAAGTATCTTGGAAATCCAGGAACATCGCTATTTCAAGGGACGATCTGATGACATCTTACACTTTAGACAGCGTGAAGTGCGATGCTTCATGGAGCGAGCACGGTCAGAAATGAACATGGGTGAATTCAATGTGGACAGTCTCGTGTCTCCAAACTATGTGAAGCATGAAAACCCATCAAAAGCGGTGCCAGTTGCCGCGCGCTCAGTGGAAGAAATTGATGAAGTGGTACTGAGTGCAATTGTGAGGGATTTAACATTGTGGTATTGTACGGTAGGGTCCAAACGGAGACGGCTTCTTGCGAGTACACCCAGCCCTCAGGTGAGCTCTCGTTTAGGATCATCGCATCGGTCATCTCATTTCCACGAACTTCCTTGCTGCGATGGGCTGCCAGGGACGAATGACACGACTTTGTCGGAGATACCTGAGCTTTCGAAGCTGACGGCCTCCGCGTTGAGCGACGCGATGACCGTAGGACTTGATTGCAGAGAATTTGTTTTGACGTTTCTCTCGCAGGTCGATACGGATGAAGACTTTCTGCATGCATTGGAGGTGTTCGCACGCCATTTGTGTAGCAGGGATATAGCTTCGGAGGGCCATTGCAGTGTCAATTCAAGTGACATTGTCACAAATGACACCATTGAGGACAAGAGTGGCATTGCACCACTCTTCTCGTCGGTGGAAGTTGGTCAAAAGGGGAAAAGAGTGGGACCAACACTAAATTTTGTGTGGCCCACAGTGCCGCGGGCGACTGCAAACACGGATAGTACGCAAAAGGGGTGCAAGGAGACGGCTGGTGTGATGGTTGACGGAGGTGACATGGAGAGAAGTGGCTTCACATCCGCATCTATGGGGCCGAACTTCGATAATTGTGCGCTGGAGCCGCGTTCGTCAACTAAGACTGAGTGCAATGAAACTGTTGTTGAACAGGGGCGGGTACAGGAAGAAGGAGCAAGTCAGTTTTCTCCGATCCCGGAAACAACGCCAATTACACGACCGATTCGAAATCCCCGTGCTCTCTCCACGCGATTCGTAGCATCTAATCGTGGAGAGCGCCTGGTTATTATTGTTTGCGCAGTTGCATTTTTGTGTGTTATTGTCGTGTCTGTTGTCCTTTCTGCTACATTAAGTGCACTGTAGGTGCTGGTTGGTAGTTTATTGATTGTGTAAATAAGGAATGACAACCCCTTTCGTTTAGCATTTAGACGTGTGCTTTGTTTGCCGTACTATTGGTTTATCTGCTTTTAAGTCGTTACCTCACACATTGAGGTGTGATGAATGAGGGAAGAGAGAATGCGCTCACTCTACATCATTTTTTATTTATTTTTACTTTTCATGCTGAGCGTACGATATACCTATATAGCTGTATGTTATATTGTAGTATTTGCATTTATTATTGCTTATATATATATATATAGTTTGTTAAAGGCTGGCAGCTTCGTAGAGCATCACCTGCATTTCCCCTCCCATTTGGCATCAAATGCCGCTTGACAGAAAACAAACGCTCACAAAAAGGACGCAGAGTTTCTAAAAGGAGAGTGATTCGGTGTGCAAGTGGCTTCACTAAACAGCACACGATTACCAAGAGGCATTTAGAAGTGGTTCTGTGGCTGTGCAACAGCAAAGAGCGTGCCATAGCACGCGCTGGCTACTTGTCTCACACAGACACGGATGACTCTGACACACCTCAGCTCTGCCTGAAATCTATTGTTTCTTTTTTGTTTTTTTTTCACCCAAGTGAAGCTGCATTGTGGCATAGAAGGATCCGAGTTTTACTCTTCATCTATCCGCACGTCTTAACGCTAAGACGAGATGGCGAAGCCGAAAGAGAATGAGATCAATATTGATGAGATAGACGAGACGACGGGGTTCAAGACCGCTGAGCTATTTGTCTGGGTCAACTTTGACGAGACATACCTCCAAAAGCCCGAGGATGACCGTGAGGCCGACGTAGACGCATGGGTGGATGCTTTTTGCGAGAAGATGGAGGGCGAGGGCCTCAATTACGGCCGAAACTTTGTGCGTTCGGTGTGCGTGCTCGGCATCTATGCTGGGCTGCGTGACGAGTTCCAGCAGCGCACCGGCAGCGGAAAGGCGGTGTACCCGAACGGAGACCGGTACGACGGGGAGTTCTTTGAGGGCAAGCGGCACGGGAGCGGGCGCTACATCTTTGTCAGCCGCCGGAAGAGTGAGTGTGACAGGATTGTGGAGAAGGAGTTGCAGAAACTGGGAGGGGCACAACCTGATGAGAACTTCATCAGTGACATTGCATCGAGGTATGAAATAAGCCGCCAGATCGTGTCATGGATGATTGAGTACGGATTTCATCCTTGCTACCACGGGGATTATGTTCGCGGTAAACGCACTGGGCAGGGACTAATGAAAAACAAGGATGGCACAGTGTATAAGGGCGAGTTCGTGGAGAACAAGCGGGAGGGCCAGGGAATGTTCTACTACCTAAACGGCGACATTTTTTCCGGCAACTGGAAAAATGGACTGAAGCACGGCTATGGAACGTATCATTTTGTGGGAGGGAATGAATACCGGGGTATGTGGGAGAACGGTATTTTCACGCAGGGGCAGTGGATCTTTCCCGATGGCACCTACTACGAGGGCTTGTTCAATAAGAAGAATAGGCCATGTGATGACGCGGCTTCGATGCATTTTCCAGCCACGAAGATGGCACAGACAGGCGTCTTCAAGCGTGGTATTTGGGCTCCTTGCAGCGATCTCAGGGCATGCGAAGAAACGCCGGTGGATGGGATGACGTGGGCAGACTAGAGCCAATGTGATGTAGTGGGTTATGTATCTCAAGAGAACCCTCTCCCATTTTTATGTTCTGTCTTCACTACGGCAGAGTTCTCAGAGTTGATGTCCACTCCACCTTTCAAGTCTTTATTTATTTATTTTTGTTTTGATTATTATTACTTCTTCAATCTTCTTCTTGAAAGCAAAGAGTAGAACTTTCACAGCGTTGGCGCAATGGTGTACACACGATGGAAGTGCGACCGTCTGCCGGTCTTCCAGGTGAAGCTGTTCACGCAGGAGTATCCGCTTCACACTGCTGTTGGCATCCTCAGCATCATGTTTCTGTGGAAGCACATGAGCCACTGCTCCGAGGAGACGGAGCGCAAGAACGGCTGGTGGGCTGGCTACCCATACTGGCGTGATCCCATCGCCCGAAGGAATGAAACAAAGTACAAGCAGCTTATAAACAATAACGATGTGGATATCACGGACCCAAAGTGGACCGGTTGCTCTCGTGAGCAACTTAACAGGCTGAAGGCTCTTGTTTAGTGTGTAGTAGAACGGTGTGAGAATCCTAGGCTTTTCTTTCTCCCTCGTTAGTAGGACTTTGGTGTTTGACCGATGAAACATTCTCCTGGTTGGCTCCAATCGGTGGGAAGATGTGTATGTATATATATATATGTATATGTGTGGGCATAACGCCCACACGCATTCCCCAACATAATCGCGGGAGAATGAATTGCCTACTCAGTTTCTTTCTGGTACCCCTTGTTTTCTTTAAGCCGGTTAAGCTTTTTGTTGTTGCTCAAAAGAGACTAAGGTAATAGAGAAGTATGCTACACGTGGCTTTTGTGACCCTATTGCTGGTGCTTTCTGTTCCAGGCGATGGTAAGGAGTTAGAGAAGCTGACTGAAATCTACCCCTCGGATGGCGATACGGTGGTCAACCTCACGGTTGGAGCCGCCGAGATCTCTGTGCCTTTGCACGGTTACGACGATGATGTAACCTTCACGTACAGAGGCCGATTCTTCAAATACCGGGGTGTGGCTTCGCTGCCTGGCCCTGTTATACACGTCAAACCCGGTGGACGACTGCTTCTAGATGTCTTCAACGATTTGGGCCCAGAAGTGTACACTGAGGGACCAGAGATGATGTACAGTTACCATGGTGTCAACACAACCAATGTTCATTTCCACGGCCTCCACAGTGACCCGAATATTGACGACGTTTTCAAAACAGCAGCCTCAGGGCAATCTCTGCTGTACAATCTGCCGATACCAAAGGAGCACCTTCCAGGTTTGCATTGGTATCACACGCATGCGCATGGCTCGTCATATCCTCTCCTTATGGGTGGGCTATTTGGTCCCTTGGTTGTTGATGAGGGGGAGAAGCACCCACTCGCATCACTTCCCTCGCATATCATGATGATTCATGTGTATCGCTTGGGTAAATCGACACTATGTGATGGATCAACGATGAGTGAAGTGGATTTGACTATTGGAAACAACATGTCATCAATGCCACGTATTAGAAATAAGAGGGGTAAGGAGCTGGAGATGCCCTCTGATTTGTTTCTTGTGAATGGTCAGCATAAGCCTACAGTCCGGGTTTCTAGAGAGATGCCAACACTTCTTCGTTTAACGTTTGCAGCTGGCTCTTGTCACTTGAACATCAGCCTCCCCGATCAATGCAGTTTCCATATAGCAGCAATGGATGGTGTCCCTATAAAGCGCACGCGCATGGTTGAAAAGAATTGGCTGTATTTTACGACTGCGACCCGGTATGATCTGGTAGTGGTTTGTAAAAAGGGTACATCGAAGGAGTTTCCAGTTCGTTTGATGGAGACACACGAAGCATTATTCTACATTACAGTCGATGAAGCACGGAAAAAGTATCGTCACAAACTCGTCTTTCCCCTTCAAATTCCACTCCACCAACCTGAGTATTTGCGTATGAATAATCCAACCATCAAGCGAGACATTTCTTTTTCGCAATTGGATGTTCCATTACCGAAACCATACTATGTAATTGGACAAGGTACAGACTGTTCGTCCTTAGTAAATTCGTCAACGTGCTACTATGAGCATTTCATGGGGCAGAATGGCGGTAACCGTGAGCGGTATCATGGCTTCGCTGTGCCGCTTGGTGGCGTCATTGAGGGTCGCATTTTTGGTGATTCCCAGGATGTGAATCCACACCCACTTCACCTGCATGTCAATCATTTTGAGTACGTGGACTTTGTACCCCGTAAGGGTGGACAACACGAAAACACATCGATGCTAGACTATGGATTGACGCCTGGTGATATCCGGGACACTATCCCCATCCTCGACGGTGTAACGGTCATTCGCTGGCGGGCGGCGAGCTACGCTGGCGAGGTGGTGTACCACTGCCACATGCTGACGCACGAGGACCGGGGCATGATGGTCTCTTATCTCGTGTACGGTGGTGCGGTGGAGGCCGCGACGGAGAATGCCATGCACACCATGCCCTCGGTTATGAATGCCGCGACCGGGGATCGCCACATTTTTTTGGCGCTCGCCGTCGTCTTCTTTATCTGTGCAGTGCTCTCTGTCGTGGCCTCGTGGATGCGAGTGAACCCGACGAATTTGGGGCATTTGTCGCGCGGCCGTGACGCCTTCGCAGCGGCCACTTTTCGGCGAATGGACAGTGCCAGTGAAATGGAACGCACGCCGCTTGTAGGGTAGGATTGATACGAGACCCATGAGCGGAGTGTTTCTTGTTCTTACTACTCACAGCGCGAGAGGGCGATGCCTGTATTTGGTCAGGTGCGATCATTTTCTTTTTGTTTTTTTACCTGTAATGGGGAGGTGGTGGGGCAACCCGTTCGAACTGGGATTCAAGAGAGAAGCAGAAGATACAAAGATGGGAAAAAGAGGCGTTATTTGTGTTGGCGTAGCATAAGCATAATGACCTTTAGTGGGTGGCTGCTGCCGGTGGTCAGCGATTCGTGCGGTTGAGTGTAAATAATGCGCAACTTTATAGTTACCCCGGTGGCCTGCTGCCGTTTACCGCCTGTTCATATATTTGTTGTTTTTCCCACCCTTTTTTTTTTTTTGCGGTCTTCTGTGCTGCTATACAGCATCGCTCTTCGGTAGGGCTTGTATTTCCTCCGGCATTCCCTCGTCTGTTTATGATTCCTTTGTAGTTAGATAAAGAGTGGCAGCGATCCTAGTTGCAGTTATCGAATCCGAGAGGAAAGACAAATAACAAAAAAAAAAGGTGTGTCTGTGTGTGACCAGTGAGCGTGATGCCGTCCGGTGAAGAACCAGCTCCTCGCGGTGCGTCTCACTCGGACCGATTTGCGTGTTGCGTTACTCTGGAGGACATCGGCGTGTCTCTTGCTAGTTCTTCAACCTCACCCTCATGCGTTGAGACCTCGTGCTGGGATGAAATGCGGGTTGTTTTTACCAGAAATGGTGTGACACAGCGCACGCGTTGGCTTTCACCTGTCTTAGCGATGCGCCATTCTCGTAGCCAGGACGACAATAAATCTGGTCTTGAAGCAGAAGCGTCCAGCGTGACGCCTGGAGTCACGAAGGCGCATTGGTCACCCATTAACGCAGCTGCCTTTACGGTACACTTTAAGCAGATGGACAAAGAGATCGATCACTCACTCGACCCTGGATACGAGCGGCCTGTGTACTCGCACAACCTGAAGTACCTTGACTCGTACAATATGGATAACGTCGACCGCAACCGCGTAAAGGTTTGTCGTAAAACAATTCACCCATTCTTGTTTAGTGTTGAATGTCGTAACTTTAGAAAAAAGGCTTCTTCTACTGGCGCCGAGGGGGGAGATCGACACCCTACCAGTGCGAGTGTGGAGGCAGTGTCTGCATACTATGCGAGAGGTGCGTCTATGGTGTCTACAATAATGAAGAAGGCTGCTGTGAAACTCGGTACTGTTTCTGCAGACGGGTTTAATAAACATGCGAAGGGGCAAGAGCCCCACCAGAACGCCCACAAGGGAGCGAATCACAGCAGCAGCAGCAGCAGCAGCATTAACAACAACAGCGGTAAAGCACCATCTGCTCTTTACGTTTGCGACGGACACGGCGTGGACCCCAGTGAGGCGTACAACGCCCCTGGAGGAAGACAGCGAATCTCGTTGCAACTCTATCCTGCAAGTTGTGAACAACCGGAAACTGAAGCGGGTGTTCCACTCGTGCTTCACCTCACCATAGTGGCTCACTTCACGGAGCCCGCTCTACCTGCACTGAGGGACTTTCATTCCATGTCTGTTTTGCTCGACCAGGTTGTCCTGGATGTCACGAACGCACAGCAAGGGCCAACACCAACGAATGCCACGGTTTCGAGAAAAGCCGAGGCCTATGGGTTTGGTTTCACATCCAATATTTCCTACAGTAAAGAACTTCGCTGTCGTTCACCTCTCGTTGCACCACCACCCATCCGTGAGGGCGAGGAAGGGGGACTGCGTCTGATTGATTTCACCTCGCTGCATCCGTCACAGAATGAGCGTGAGCTGACGGCGTCGGATTTTGAGAAAAACCCGACGTCCGCCTGCATTGTATCCTCCATGTGCAAAATAGCGAATCCAAAGCGGATTGGAAATCGAGTCGTTTTGGTGTCGCGTTTTAAAACCTCGCATGATGGGCTTTGTAAGCCTTCCTACAAGTGCCAGCTGGTGATGGCGCTGCTTCGCCGCTACAATACAGGCGAGGTGGAGGAGGAGCGCTGCGAGTATCCCGTGGATCTGGCCTCCATCCTTAATCAGGAGTTTTACCCTGACAAAGTCAGACACATGGTCTTCTCACAGGGCGAATATATGAGTTTCAGGCTACGACGGCGCTGTTTTGCTGAACCCGAGCGGTACCGAAGTGAGTTACTTATGCCATACGATTACGACAACCGTGGCGTTGAAATCAGTGGGCTTGGCGAGGGTAAAGGCGCTGCCTTGCTTGCCCTGGGGGCTGCATCTAAGGCCGACCTCCGGGATGCCACCGAACGCGGCACTGAGAAGAGTGATGGTGGAAGTGCCGTCGTAGCACAGGAACAAGGGGAAGGGAAGGTGCCGACCCCACGTTTGACAGATAATGTTCTAACTTCATACAATAATTATGAGAATCATAGTTACCAGCCGCCTTTGAAACCGGATTCACAGGCGGATGTCGACACTGAGGCACGTATGCCACAACCGGAGACACACAAAGAAGCTGTGCGTACTCCTCACGGCAGGGAAACCTCTGACCTCTCCATGACACAAAAAGAAGAAAGTAATCCATTCGAAGCCGCTGCAGATGCATCCAAGGTCTCATTAGTGTTCAAGTCTATGGGGTCCAAGGATGTAAACACGGGAAGTGAACCAACCAACCCGTTTGGTAACATAGCCAGCCAAAGTGCATTTGATGATCGTGTCTCTAATAAGCAGAAGGTAGCAAATAGCTTGCCTGTAGTTTCGTTCGCACCGTCCGTAGTCGAAGAAGATGCTAATGATGTAGTTGCCTTGTCATCGCAGATGGGCATGTACACTTTCGGATCAGAGAATACCCGAAAACTGGAGTAAATCGACATTTTCTTCATATGGACGATAGGAGAAGTTTGGCGTAAAACAAGCGGGTATATATATATATATATATATNTTTTTTTTTGTCGTACAGGGATATATTTGTAAAGGTGATGCCTATTTTTGTGACCTCGCTGCGTGTGCGTCTGTGTGTGCCTTTGAATAGATGACCGTACGTATTCTGTGTTGTGCGGATTGCTCTCTGTTGGCAAAGCTTAAAAGGACTTTTTCTCTCGCTTGCTATTGTTTACAGCTGTTCAGTACTGGTGTGGAGGTGCAATGTTTCGCGGTGCTGTGGGAACGGCGGGTAGGCAGTGGCGCTCTGAGCGTCGCTTGGCTGCGCTTGTCACCGCCACGAGCAGGAACCCCACGCAGAAGTGGACTCACCATGTCGCTAAAGCCAGTCTGGCGCGTCAGAGGGAGTTGAGGACACGCGAAGAGGAAGCACGTGGGCGGAAGCGCACTTCTTCCAAGCGTAAGGATAACCGAATGACAGCGGCAGATATTGAATTTCTGCGGTCCCAACAGGATAAGGCACTTGCTGACGATGATACTCGCACAGGTGCATCCATGCGGTCTGTTGGTGCCGCGCCACCCCACCGTCCGTCTTCTTCGCGGCATGTGAGCTACGACAGAGTTGATTCGAATACCGGGAACAGCGTTATTCAGCAGCGCTTTGATTCACTAGTGCATGATGCGATTTTAAAGTACGGTCCGCCACTTCCGGTCGAATTTGTTGTGGAAAACGATGTTTTTACGCCCTCGAGCGCGAGGGAGAAGATGAATATGTCTTCTTCTTGTGCGAATGAAGGGGACCCTGACGCATCTTACTTCTACGATGAGGTGCATGTGCGGTCACAGGAGTTGTTTGAGATGCTTCGACGGGTCGACTCCTCATTCAGTGTTCGTACGCATGCTGATGGCGTCCCCTTCTCACTGCTCATTAAGAACTGCCAGTACTTCCGGGTGTGGGGCGGACGGGTGCATTTTATGCGTTGCCTTAAGCGCGTTCCGTTACGTGCGCGCGACGAGGACACTGAGGCTGAGCGAATGGGGCATGAGAAACTAACGGTGTCCCTCGGTAAGTACAAGATGCGAGAGCCTTCGTCATTTGATGGCCTTCGGCAAGGGCCTCAGCCGTGGCTGCACAGTTATCGAATGATGTGAAGGAGGGGTGTGAAATGAAGTGAGTCAAAACCGTATTCTTTTTTTTTTGCATTGGGGTTTTGCTTTGCCATATATGATATATAT